GTGCCACCGCTGTGTGTGGCGGCCCCGTGGGAGCCACTGGGTGGTGCGGTGGCCTCGGCCTGCTGGTCCCCCCAGAGCGTTGAGGGCCTTCCCCACCCGCCTGCCGCAGAGGGGCCCCCATTGCCCAATCCCAGGCCGAGTTGTGGCATCGCTGGTTGCTCCTGGGGCCTGTGGGCCGCTTCTCCGCTGGACGGTGCTGGGCCAGGCCGGGTGTGGCGTGTCTCCCGTGGCTGCCTCCTTTTTTTCTCTTTCTGCAGATTCAGGCTGCGCATCATCGGGCCTTTTCCTGTGGCCGTGCCGCCTCCCGCGCCTCTTGACTGTCCATCCTCTTCCTCCCCCCTCGCTGCGGGGATGCCAGTGTCTTCCTGCCCCAGGACCTCCTTCCTCCTTGCCAGGGCTCCTCTGTGGCTTTCGTTCTTGGCCAGCACGCCAAGCCAGGTTTCACGTTCCTGAATGCATTCGTCGCAGCCCTGTTGGAGTTTCCCTCGGGGACCGGCGAGCCGTCCCTTCCTGGCCGCTTGGGTCTCTCCATTGCCCGTTGGGTGTTCTGTGTCCTGGGTTCGGAGGTCGAGGCCCTGGAGGGCTCCTGCGTCTGGGTTTTGTGCTGCCCGGGGCCCTGTCTTTCTTCCAGGTCTCTCCAGGTGCTGCCCTCTGGGGTCCGTGGCGAGATCTCGCCTGGAACTCCTGCCGGTGGTCCTCAGAGTCCGCTGCGGGCTTGGGGCAGGGGCTCCAGTCGCTCCTGCATTCTGGCATGGCGGCGCTGAGGCTTGCGAGGCGGGATTGTGCGTTTGATGTTGGAGCCTGTGATTCCGCCGGCCGCCTTCCTGCCGCGTGATGTGTTGGGGTGTGTGTTGCCGCCGCCGCCGCCGCTGCTCCTGTTCTGGCATCAGACAGAACAGAACGATCTGCTCTTGCTCTGTTACCTGCAGACACGCCTAGGGGAACACGGTCTTCTAGTAGAGTCAGGGCGAACTGTGACCGGGAGCACGCTGGCTCACGGGGGTGTGACGGGGGCCTGCTCTGGGGGACTTGCGTCTCACAGCTGAGACCTTCCAGGAAGGCCAGCCCAGTGCCCTTGTCCGAAAACTCACCAAGTTCAGTAATCCATTACTAAGGAAACAGTGGTGTTCCGGTCCTGTCATCAAGCTCCCACAGACCACAGCCCACGGGTCGTGAAATGTGAGACAGAAGCGCGTGCGGATGGCGTGTCCTGGTGTAACTGGCCATTGCGTCAGGCCTCTGTTTGAGGCCTGTAGCACCTACCAAACTCTAACTTCTGAGGGTGACTGCGGCTGCACGTGGGTCTGCGTCAGCATGTTCTGATGGCTGCTCAGGACATGGCTGGTCGTGACCTTGGGCAGCTGATTCCTGAAGTGTGTCGGAGACTCACCGGGCTGCCCACAGGGGAGGCCTCGGGCCAGAAGGCCTGGCGGCCAGCACACACCCCATGAGCACTGTCCTCGCGGACGCTCGGGGTGCAGACAGGCCCTGGAGGGGTGCCGTGAGCAGGCCTTGGTGACGCTGCCTGGCGCGCGCCCGGGATGTCCTGCCTTCTGGGAGTCCCTCTCAGGCCCAGGCAGAGCCGGACGCGTGGTCACCCCACCAGCAGAGCTTTAAACGCTCGCGTGTTGGGCAGTCCTGGGCGTGCTTTGTCGCCCGTCGCAGGGCGTGTCTGCCTGGGCTGTGCGCGCCCGCTACCTGGCAAGGCCCGGCGGGGCATGGAGCCAGGGGAGGCGGCGCTCTGTGGGGCCGGCGGGGGAGCCTGGGGCGAGCGGATGGGCCCCCGTGCTGTGGGCCCCGGGTCCCACTGTGTGTGGCCCGACGCCGGCTGGGGCCGAGTGGTGGCGCGTCTCCAGACGCCCCCAGGGGTCTCCCCCATCCCGCGTCCGGCGCTGGGCCTTCAGCGGGGGCTCCCTCGTCCCTGAGATGACCTTCTGGGAGTGGGGGCTTCGGGAGAGGCGCGGGGAGGGAGGCTGAGCGGCCGCTGGGGCTGGGAGGCAGCTCAGCGCCCCTGTGTGGCTTTTCCATGGGTAACCCCTTGATACAGAGCTCAAGCTCCCTTCAGAGACGGGCCTGGGGCCTGGCCTGCCTGGCTGGTGGGCAGAAGCTTGCTCCAGAGACTCTTCAGCACTGCTCACCTCTTGCTGAGAGGGAAACCGTGTCTAACGGCTTAGGTGACACTGAACACCTGGTCCCCCACCGTGGCTGTGGGTCAGAAGGGGGTGGCGTGGGGACTGTCATCCAGGCTCCTGAGTTGGCTGTCACCCAAGTTGCCTGGTCTGCAGGGTTGGAGGCCCACGGGGCTGGAGAGCTGCTCTGAGTTGGCACCTGGGCCTCTCCCAGGGCCCGAGTGTCCGCCCATGGCCGCTGGCTGACCCAGAGCCGGTGGCTTCTCCCCAGGGCTGCCCGGGTGTCCACAATGTTGCTGCCCGCTGTTTCAGAGCAAGTGCCCTTTCCTCGGGGCTGCCCGGGTGTCTGTCCGTGGCCACCAGCCACCCAGAGCCAGTGACCCGAGAGCCGGGGCCAGCTGCCTTCAGCAGCCACCGTCACTTCAGCCTCCAGAGGTCACAGAGTGGGTCCCGGGGAGGATGTGTGAGCATCAGGAGGGGAGCCCATCCCACCCTCGGGCTGCTGCAACCGAAGCCGCAGACAGGTGCTTCGTCGGCGGGAATCCGTCTCTCACGTCTGGCGCTGGGAGTCTAGGAGGCCCCGGCATAATCTGTGTCCGGGGAGAGCCGAGGGCGCCTTCTTGCTGAGTCCTCTCCTGGGCAGGGGCGGGCTGCCCTCCAGGTGGCTCTCACGAGGGGCCTGCCCAGCAGGCCCCGCCTCTCGACTCGCACCTCCTGGCCCCGGGCATCTTGGTCGGGACGTGTCCTGCAGCCTCCTAGCTGCTTTCTTGGCACCAAAGCGCACCTTCCCAGGCTTATGACACCAGAGGGTGCCTTCTGGGTGTGGCAGGATCCAGCCCCGTGGCCTGTGTCTGTGGGTGCCGTGATACCCAGCCCTGTGTCTCGTGTCCCTGGGTGTGGCAGAGTCTGGCCCTGTGTCCCGTGTCCCTGGATGCGGTGGCATCTGGTCCCATGGCCCATGTCCCTGGGTACAGCGGCATCTGACCCTGTGGCCCGTGTCCTTAGGCGTGGCGGGGTCTGGTCCTGTGTCCCCTGTCCCTGAATGTGGCATGGTCTGGCCCCGTGTCTTGTGTCCCTGAGTGTGGTGGGGTCTGGCTCTATGGCTAATGTCCCTGGGTACAGTGGGGTCCGATCCTGTGTCCCATGACTCTAGTGTGGCAGAGTCTGGCCCCATGTTCCTGGGTCCGGTGGCATCTGGTCCCATGGCCCTTGTCCCTGGGTATGGTGGCATCTGGTCCTATGGCCTGTGTCCTTGGGTGTGGCAGGATCTGGTCCTGTGTCCCTGGATGTGGCGGGGTCTGGCACCATGTCTTGTGTCCCTGAGTATGGTGGGGTTCAGTCCTGTGTCCCATGACCCTGGGTGTGGTGGGGTCTGGTCCTGTGTCCCGTGTCCCTGCATGTGGTAGGGTCTGGCTCTGTGGCCCATGTCCCTAAGTGTGGTGGGGTCCGGTCCTGTGGCCCATGGCCCTGGATGTGGCAGGGTCTGGCTCCACGGTCCGTGGCCCTGGGTATGGCAGGGTCTGGCCCTGTGGCCCCTGTCCTGAGGTTGCCTCTCAGGCAGGGTCTTCTGGCCCCGGGTCAGTGAGTGGGGACATCCTGTCTCAGCCCCCTGCACCCCTCCCTGGCTGCTGGCTGTCCCGGCTTCATGTGGCATCGGTCAGCGTGAGGGTCCCTGTCCTGCAGGTCTCCTGGGACAGCTAGGGTGGTGCCTGGCCTCCGGTTCCGGAAGGGGCAGGTGGCCCGTGTGGCCGGGTCAGGTGCCCAGGTGGCTGACTGGGCCTGCCGGCTCCTGGGCTGCCGTGGCCCTCAGGCCCGCAGCTGGACGACAGCCTCTGCCTCCTCCCTTCTGTGGGAACACGGGGCTCGAAGAATCCCAGGCAGCCCCCTGGCTGCCCTGTGGGCCTTGAGCCTCGGCTGCCTGACTGGTCCTTGACCGCTCACCCCGTGTGGCCTCCGACTTCATCCGGCGTCCCGCGTTGCCGCAGTGTTTTCTGGGGAAGCGTGAACGCGGGTATCTTGAGTTTGCACCTGGACGCCCAACAGAATCTGAACCCATCCCGTGTCTTCCAGCGGCCTTCTCGTGACCTTGAGTGCTCGCGTGTGCTGTCGCGTGTGCGGGGGCTTGGGCCGCTGCACGCACACTCCTGGGGCTGCTCTCCAGGCCCCGTCTTGGTGTGGCGTGGCCGCCACCCGGCCATGTCTGGCCCTTTGTTGAGAGCTGAGCACAGGGTGCCTGGGGCCTCCTGGGCAGGTCGGGCTGGCGGGGCTGGCGGCCCCTCCTCGGTCCGAGTCCTGTGGGTTGTCCTCTGCCACGCCAGCCACCTTCCTTGTGCCTGCTGCCACCCTCAATGTGCAGGGCCGTGCGGGTTCGGTCACCACCGTCGCCCGTGGCCTGTGCCTGCTAGGCCCCAGCCGTGACCATGGCCTTGGCGTGGCTTCTGGGACCTGGCGTCCCGGCATTGCTGGGGCTGGCCTCACGGTGACCCCGTCTCATGAGATAGCTGTTAAAGCGCGAGCAGCCGTTGGAGATGCTGTATTTATCATTGTTGTTGTTGCTTTCTGCAGGCCGGTCTAATTGACGCCAACGGAGAGCTAAAGGTCTTCATAGACCAGAACCTTAGTCCCGGAAAAGGTAAGGCCGCCGGACGCGAGTCTGCTGCTGTGCGTGTGCCTTGGGCTCTTGGGGAGCCTGACTGGGGAGCCCTCGCAGGAGCACTGATGCGGGGAGAGCACGGCCTGCAGCCCGCGCACCCTCGCCTGCTGGTTTTGGCGTCCAGCCGGGTATAGCACTTGCGCAGGTTTAGAAAACACAGAGCCGTGGACAGACGTTGGCGAGGCGACGCGCGCCTTGCCGCCGTGGGCCCTTCCCCTGCCCAGGCCTGTGGCGAGAGAGGAGGGTCCCCTGGGCCCGGCGCCCCCTCCCTCTCCTCTATCCATCCGCTCCTGGATGTGTTGCCCTAGCCGTTGCGGAGTCTGGGAGGACGTGAGGCGAGAGGCGGCGGCGTGTCGTCGTGCCCGCCATGGGCAGCGTCTGTGGACGCCGGCATGGCCTGTGACGCGGCCAGGAGGCGGGCCTGTGCTCCCTGGTTGCTTCCCCGGGACCCCCGCCCGGGGCTGCACAATCTTGAGTGTCGACAGGGCTGGCGGGCGAGGCGGGCGGTGGTTGCGTGGGCCTGTCACGCTGTCGGGCGTGTGACCTGCAGGGGGACAGTGCGCTCTGGCCCCAGAGGACTTTGCCCGCAGAGGCTCTGGCCGCAGCTCACTGCTGGTGCCGGCCCCTGGGGCCCGGCTGAGCCTCGGTGTTCAATTCGTGCTTGTTTCTCGCCCAGCAGCTAGTCCGGTCATAGACACAGCAGCTCTTGTAGCTCCTGACGGCGAGGCCCTGCTGGCCCCGTGGTCTTGCTGTGCTCAGGCATGTGGGTGAGGGGGCCGGCCCCGCCTTGCGTTCTGCCGGGACCCCTGCCGCCGCTCCTTGCTGGCCCCGCCGGTGCAGGCCTCCAGCGGGCCGCCTCCTCACACGGTGGAGCCAGTGCCAGGTGCCTCTGGGCCGCCCCGTGTCTGCTCTGATCCCAGTGCGGGCCGAGGGGACCTGACCGTGTGGCCGGAGTACATGCGAGCCGCCCTGGGCCCCCGCAGGCGGGGAAGGTGGCCGCCGGTGGCTCTTCTGCCGAGGCTGCCCTCACGCCCCAGGCCCCCAGGGCTGAGTGCTCGCAGCCTGTCTTGATACCTGGCCGCGCTCGCCGGCTGCTCGAGGGACGAGTTCCAGAGCAGCCGGTTGAACGTTTAGTTGGCAGACGCTTCAGGCGTGGCGCTCCCTGTCCGGGCGACAAAGCAGAATGAGAAGGTTGTGGCGGAAGGCTTGGAAGCAAGGCATCTGCCGTCAGGGGGCGTCACCTGGGCTCCCCTTGTGTGGGTATGCCGGCAAGGCTCCTTTTCCATCCTCATCTTAGAGACAGGGTCTCACCCAGGCTGGAACCCAGTGGCTCGGTCATGGCTCTTGGCAGTCTACCCCCGGGCTCAAGTGACCCTCCTACCTCAGCCTCCCGAGGTGCCGGGATTACAGGTGCTACCATGCCTGGCTAATTTTATTTTTGTAGAGATGCCCGGCCTCCTTTTCTGTTCTTAGAGCAGGTCTGTGGTTAAATCCATCCCTCATTGAACTGTGTGCCAGAGCTGAGTGGGCGGGGTTAGGAGTGACACGTGGGGGCGTTCCCCGCCGTGGAGTTGGGCGTCTGTGCCTGGCGGGCCGGGCCCGGCGGCCTCGTCTTTCCTCTTTGCTCCTCCCGCGCGTGAGCCTTTGTGGCTGGCTGTGACTGCGGCTCCGTGGCCTGGGAAAGTTGGCCCTGCCCCTGAGTGGGCGTCAGCAGCTGGACCGGGCCTCCGGCTCCCCCACCCGCCACTCAGTCCGAGCCCCTGTCCCCCGTCACGTTGGGGTCCCAGAGGCGCCTCTGTCCCGTGCTGCTCTCTGCCCCGGTGCTGACCCCGTGGCTCGCGCCCAGGGTCTGTTGGAGAAACTTTCCAACGGGTTCTGCGGACAGTGGTGTCTGTCCCTGCACGTGTGCGTCCTCGTGTCCCCACAGGTGTGGCCCCGGCTGAGGGGATGTGGTCAGAGGAGCCCCAGGGCCCACGTGCACCCACGGCCTAGAGTGGCGTGGCCCCCGTGGCGTGGCCCCTGCAGGGCTGGGCCGCTGCTCTCAGCAGGCTCTCAGCTTGGGAGCGAGGTGCCCGCCGTTAGGGTGCGTCACCCGAGCTCCCTTCTTGGGGGTATGCCCAGCAAGCTTCCTTTCCCATCCTCATGGTAGGAGCGCCCACAGGCTTCTGTCTCCGGCCAGATGCGCCCTCCGCTGCGCCCTGTCCCTCCGGCTTCCCTCGCTTTTAGCCCGGCAGTGGCGATAACCCGGGCTGCATCCTTGCTCCGTCACTCGGGGGAGCGTTGGCATCTCACGGGTTGGAAGAGTCTGGGGTCCCAGCTCTGGCCGACCTCCCGTACCATCCTCCTGGGCTGTCCTTCCTGGCCATCCTTCTGGGCCATCCTTTCTGGCTGTCCCCCTGGGCCATTTTTTTCTGGTCATCCCTATCCGTCTTCCCAGGCCATCTTTCCTGGCCATCCTCCAGACCGCCCTCCCTGGCTGTCCTCCTGTGGAGCTTCAGTGCTTCCCGACGGTCTGGTGGAGTGAGTGGGACCTTCCCAGCAGGCCCCAGGTTTTGGGCAGGGCCGGGCGGCTCAGGGCAGGAGCGGCCTCTCTCGTTAGGTCCCGAGGACCAGGAGCTGTGGAGTGGGAGGCCTGCCGCCAGGCCTAGGCAGGAAGGCCCCGCGGATGCATCCCGCACGGCCAGGGCGGCCCCCGTGAGCACCGCGGACGCCCAGCCCAGGGAGCTCAACTGCTTCTGGCCCAGCTTGGGTCCCACGGGCTGGCCCCGCGTTCCAGCGCCAGCCGTGCTGCCGTGGCCCGCGGGGTCCCAGGCCCCTTCTCCTCACTCCACTCCGCATCATGACAGGCTCAGGGCAGCTGTGTGCCCCCCTACTCCTCCCCTCCCACCTCCCCCCACCCCTTCCATTTCCAGGTCCCTCTGTATTGGTCAGGATTCTCCAGAGAAGCAGCTGGTGGGGACTGATGACACATGTGGCAGGCTGATTCCCAGGATGTGGCCGGTGCTGTGGGCCTGGGGGGCTGGCACCTACAGGAGACAGGCAGCCTCGATGCCACTGGCTAGGCCGAACCTTCTTTGGGGACGGCGGCCTCTGCCTTTGAGGCCTTCCGCTGGCCAGGCGAGGCCCTGCGGCTGAGGGGCGGCTCCGTCACACACGTCCTCGGGAGCTGCACACACCCCCAGTGTCTGGTGGGTGGCCAGGTGCTCGAGCACTGCCGTGTTGACACAGAAACCCTGTCACACCCTGGACTCCAGAAGCTTTTCCTGGGGAGTGCGCCGGCACCCTGCATCACAGGCCCAAGGGGAAAAGACTTGTGGAGTGTGGCCCTGCTTCACGTGGCCTCTGTAGCTGTGGCCCCCTCAGGTCCTACTGGCAATACTGGCGTGAGCCTCTGCATACATACCGTGTGGACATGTGATCACCCAGGCGGATGCTGGGGGACGGCACGATGGGTTCCTGGCCAGTGTCTGTGGCTGTCCCACCTCGTGCCCACCGGTAGCGTTCAGAGCCGCAACTGCCCAGCTCTCACCAGCACTGGTACTGCTGGGAGCTGAACTTCCTGTGCCTGACTGGTCCTTGTCGCTCCCGTCCCTCGGGGCCCTTCTGTGGCGGGATCTGCCCGTGGCTCTGCCCAATGTCAGGGCCCTTGCCCGCCCCTGCTCCACAGCCTCAGGCCGGTCCGGGCCAGGCTGGACATGGGCTTGTCTGGTTGTCTCAGGGACATGATCGCACCTCATCCTCATGCCTGCTAGCAGCTCACACCCCCTCCCTCGCCGGGCCTGGGGCACACATGGGCGTGCCACGTTGGGTGGCGGGCACCTTTCAGCGCTGGCGTGGGTGGCATCTGACGTGCATGGCCTCTGCTGGCGGTGGGTTGTCCTCCTCCGGCTCCTGGGCCTGCTGTGGTCTCCGGCCCGCACGACACCCCCCACTCCCTCCTGCCGTTCGCCTTGTTTTCCCGTGCAACCCGAGCATCTCCTGGTTGGCGATCAATGCCACAAACCATAGGGAGGCCCGGGGCGCCCAGGCGGTGACTGCGTGTTTGTGGACGGGGCGTAGCCTGCTGTCTGGGCCTGGCCTGCAGCCCCTTCCCCTTCCAGGGGGGCCCGCACAGAGGCGGTGGCTGGACAGTTCTGCACAGACCTGTGGCCTCCCGAATTGTCTCCCCTGTGCTCGCCACCGACCACGGCAGCGTCCTCCATGGTCACCTCCTTCCATCCTCCCGCTCTGGATTTTCCTCGGCTGTACAGTGGGGCTCCGAGGGAGGCGGGAGGCCAGCAGGGGGCCCTGACTCGCAGGCACGGCACCTTCCCAAGCACACGTGTGTGCACACGCGGATTATGAGTGAATCAGCAGTGGGAGGCAGAGGCCCTGGTCACAGGAGCACAGCTGTGGCTTGGGCCAGCCCCTAACTGCTCACCGTGGGAACTGGCAGGAGAAGCCATCGCCCGTCCCCTGGCCCTCGGTGTAGCCTGAAGGGCGCTGAGCTCTGGCCAACCCGGCCAGGGTCACACCCAGCAGTTGTGGTCTTGCTCCTCAGTGTGACGCCCACGCGGGCCCCTGGGCTTGCCTGGGCCACACTGTGCAGCTGCGTGGCCTTGTTCCTGGGGTGACTCCCACCTGGGACCCAAGTCGGCTGGGGCCACACTTTGCAGCTGGGCCTTGCTCCTGGGGACAGAGATGCCCACGCAGGGCCTCCTGTGGGGATGCTCCCCTGGAGGTGTTAGGTGACTGGAGACCTGCGGGGCACTTGCGTTCACACCGGGGCGTGCTCAGGAGTGCGCCTGCCCGTAGCCCAGCCGCGTGGAGCACAGTGCCTGGGGTGTGTGCGTGGTGGCCCCTGGATCGTGGCTCGCGATGGCCCTGTGCTGTGGCCTTGGTCCAGTTCCCACGAGGGTAAGCCCAAGTCCGAGCAGAGTCTGGGGAGAGGGACGTCTTCGGGGGCACCCTGCTGTGGTAGCCCGGGTGGGACGTTCCTCCCCAGGACTGAGACCCAGCAGAGAGTCCCGTGCCAGCCGGCCAGGTGCCACAAGCGGCCTTCAGGCACAGGGCTGCGGAAGGCCCTTCTGCTCTGAAAGCCTGGGCTCTGGGGTTCAGAGGTGCCTGGCCAGGCTGCTGCTGAGGAAGCTCCTGGCTGTGCCTTCTCAGCCTGCAGTAGGCAGTGGGTACGATGAGCAGTTACAAAGACGTGGCTGTGGCCCACCCAGAGTCCCTGCTGTTTCGGGTCGTAGCTGCTCAGGCCTCGGTGTTTTCAGCTGTTGTTCCTGCTAAGAGGGAGTTCCTCATTTGTAATGCTGCCTTTGGAAATGTTTTGTACAGTTCTTCTGACAATGGGTTTGGAGGACATTTTCCAGTTTTAAAAGTCTTAAGCAGTGTCTAGGCCGTGGCCCTCGTGCCACAGAAGCGTTCATCCTTCTCACCCAGAAGCGTGTGTGCGGCGGCCTTCCCTGCAGGACATGTGGGAAGCTCTTGGACTTGCACGGCCGGAGAAACCAAGCGCAACACCACGTTAAGTGACCGTGGACCGAAAGTGGCCCACCGGCGGCCCTGGTGCTGCTGGCGTGCTTGGACAGAAACGGCCACTTGGGGCGCTGTGGCACAGCCGGGACAGAGGCTGTCGGCCAGTGCAGACGTGTGCGGTTCAGCCGTGACAGGCAGCGTGTTCGCCTCACACCTGCGTTCATGCCGCCTTTCATGCCAGGGGCCATGGAGGGCCCTTGAGGGGACCACCCAGATCGCTCAGGGCAAGTCTCAAGCGATGTGAGCGGCATTTGGGACGCTGCAGTGTGCGCCCTCTGAACCCGGAGGCTGGGGGGGGGGGGCGTGTGCTCCTGGGCGGGCGTGTGTGGACAAGCGTGCAGTGTGGAGAGCACGTGGCCTTGCAGCCCCGGGGTTGGGACAGGGCAGGGGGGCTGGCATCCATATCCCGATAGCTCTCTTCTTCAGGAAGCCGGAGGCAGACGCACCCAGTGGTGACAGCCCCATCTTTGCCACTAGGGGTGCCTCGCCATCCTTTGTGCTTGAAAATCTCTCACGCAGCACAAACCAGAAGCCCCCAGAGGGCACCGGGATTCACCGTCCCCCTGCACCTGTGCTTCCTGGTCTGGGTCCCACATGTCCACAGGAGGGATCCACAGGCTGGCGGTGGGTGCTCACTCTGTGGGTGAGGGCTCTCGAGATGCTGGCCTGGGACTTTTCCCGCCTGTCACTAATGCTGCTGTGCCTCCTCGCGGCCTGCCACATGCTGGGTGACCCAGGTGTTGCTGGGTAGGATGTGGGTGCTCAACTCAGAGGTCTCCATCTGGTTCCTGTCTCGGCTTGGAGCCCCTCTGTCCTGGGTGCATCCTCGGGCCCACCCCCCACAGCTGAGGTTTGGGGGGGCCTGGGGAGCCTCCCCATTTTGGTGGGCTCTCTCTTGGGCCCCGAGGGCCAGGGGGACTCTCTGCGTCCCTCCCTGTTACCTGACTGGGGACTCCTTGGGAGTCCGCCATCCTCTGGTGCTGGCCTCAGCCCGGAGGAGAGACCCAGTGGGGGCAGCACAGACAGGGGATGCTGGTGCCTCCTGGGTCTCACGACGCCTCCCTCAGCTCTGCCACCTGACACTGAGGCCTCAGGCCCACCGGGACACGGGGTGGGACCCCAAACAGAGCGGGCCTGGGCGTGCTGTGTGCCTGTGCTTCTGGGCAGCACTCTTTCACCTCGACTCAGGGGCTGGCACTCACTGCTTTCTGTCGCAGAGCTGAGGGTGATGCCCAGTCGCCCGAGTGAGTTCGAATCACTCGCTGCGTCCGCCTTTGCACGATGCGTGTCGAACCATCACGGTGTGTGTTTTGAGTACACACAGCCCTTGTTTTCCAGCTAAATGTCCCAAAGTAAACAAATGTTTCTCAAATACAAAGCAGTGGGAAAGTGAACATTTGCTTTTCTAAGGCACAGACCTTTGCTTTGGAGGAGAACAAAAATCCCAAAGCAGATAGCCTCGTTTCAGTTGGCGAGAGGAATGTGCATGTGTGCTGGCGTGGGATGGTTAAATGCACCCACGTTTGCCCGGCTGAGGCAAGAGGGGAGAGTTTTTCTGGTGACCTTCTGGGTCTCTGTCCTGGTCGACTGAGGCTGCTGGAGAAGTGGGCGTTCGCGTGAGCAGCACACGCCGGGCTTAGTGCCTTTAGGGAAGGCTGCAAGTGCGGGCGACCTGAAGACGCACGGGCTGCCACAGGCCCATGGAGAAATTTCGGGTCTCAGGCGGAGCCCTTGGAAGTCGTTGCAGATTTTGTCGATGCAGCCTGGCGGAGGAAGGGCCGTGCCCCGCTGGGCCTGTGCGGGGTGTCGAGGCCTTGGCCTTCCCCACAGGGCGTCCTCAGGAGGCTGGTCCCTGAGAGGCTGGGGGTGTCCAGGCTTGGCTGGACCAGAGTCATCGTGACCCCCAGACCGTCCTGTTCTTCCCGAGAGCAGCAGCCTCTGCCACCCCGGGTGACTCTGCCTCCACACAGCCACCCGTCAGGGCTCCCTGCCCGCTCTGTCGGCCGCCCCCTGACCCCGAGAAGCCATCGCCTGGTCCGCACGTCTCGTCTGTTTTATCCTCCTTGCCCTCCAGTGCCATTTCTCAAATTTTGCCGTTTCTACTTAATTCGACTGTGGGTCATGTAAAATAGCCCAGCCCCTGATTTCTGCCCCCCGTGTCCCCGCGTGGGAGTCACCTTTGTGTACGCGTGCTGGGTGAGCGTGTGCCCCGCAGAGCCCGTTGCGCCTGGCCCTTAGGACTCCGGGAGCCTCCGTGAGGGAAGGCGGGGAAGGCTTCTGAGTGGCTGTGCAGCCTGCAGGGGAAGGTTAGGGCAGAACATTAGTGCTGTTCTGAAATTCAATCCTGCAGGCATCACGGACATTTCCGGCCCTGGCGGACCTTGGTGTCTTGATCCCGCTGGCACCTTCCGAGGCGGAGGCTGGGGAGGGGCCGGAGCAGGGGACGAGGGCTCAGGTCTGCCGCTCAGCCACCGCCCCAGGTGTCCTGGGTGGAACAGCCTCCAAGGTGTCAGCACACTGTGGGTCGGGCAAGGGCGACTTCCTTGGCCACTGCCCTCAGGTATCCTGGGTGGGTCCCCGACGTGTCTGGGGGTGCCGTGGATGGGGTGGGTCAGGCGGGGCATCTTCCCGCCACCATCACTCAGCCTTCCTCCGGTCCCTGTGTCTCAGGTGTGGTGTCCCTGGTCGCCGTCCACCCCTCCACTGTCAACCCTCTCGGGAAGCAGCTGCTGCCAAAAACCTTCGGCCAGTCCAACGTCAACATCGCCCAGCAAGTGGTAAGGCGCCCCGGGCCAGGGGCGGTGGGGGTGTGGGCAGGTGTGCGCGTGCCAAGGCCCGCAAGTTTGGCCTTGGTTCGGCTTGGAGTGTGGACTGTCCCTGCCCCTCAGCGAGCCCTGGGCTGCCGTGTGCCCAGCGACTGCGTCTCTGCAGCACGGATACATGTGCCCCGCGGGGCTCTGGTGGCCACGCCTCATGTGTCCTTCCCAGACTGGCAGGGGTGTGGCGGGGCCTCTGCCAGGCGGGGATGCAGGCTGGTGGGGCCGTGGGCCGTCGTTGGACACTTGTGGGTGGGGCCGTGGGCCGTGGGCGGGCCTCGTGTGGGCTGCAGGTCGTGGGTGGGTCCACGGGTTGTGGGTCATACGCAGGGCCTCGACTGCGCCCGTGGCGGCTTCCTACACCCGCTGCTCTTGGCCAGCCAGGGCTTCCTCCAGGAGAGGCCTCGTGTGGGCCCCGACCTCCCGGGGCCGCTGTGTGCCCTGGACTGGGAAACGGGGTGGGCAGGACTGCGGCCACGAAGGTGCTAGCAGGGCAGCTGTCCCCAGCCAGGACAGGTGCAGGCGTGGGCTGCGCCTGGGCGGCCGGTATCTTCTCTCTTTCCCGGGCTGTGGCCTGCACGGCTGTCGTGCGGCTCTGCCCTGTCCTGTGTCTGTTTCTGTCTCCTCCACAGGGCCACGCTGGGACAGACGTTCCCTGTGACTGGCTTGTGGTTAGGGAGCCGCGACGGAGGCTCAGGCCTGCCGCTCAGGAGGCTGAGGTGGGAGGAGGGCTTGAGCCCAGGAGGTCGAGGCTGTGGTGAGCCGTGATTGTGCCACTGCGCTCCATCCTGGGTGGCAGACCTTGTTTCTAAAAAGAGATGGAGGAGAGGGGAAAATAGGGACTTCATTTAGTTTTCACATCTTGATCTGATTTGAATGAAAAGAGGAAGAAAACCTGTGCTGAGTACACTGTCCCCCAGAGACCCCTGATGTCCCCCAGGTGTCCCCAGTGTTTCAGTCCGGCTTCGTGTCACCGCCTGGATACCAAGGCCATCCTCGCGCTCCTGTCCTGATGTTCTTCCTGCTGCTTTTTTCACATGAAGGTGTCTGAGAACCCCTGCCCCGTAACAGGCCCTGCAGTAAGTTTTCAGAGGGGTGACCTGTGGTGGAGCCAGGGCGAGGCAGCCCTGGGACACTGAGCAGGCCCACCAGGACGCCACAGCCCCCGACACGCCCCCCACGTGACTTTCCGTGGCTGCCCGTGGCCCTCACCCCCTGCCTGGGCCAGGCCCAGTCCCAGGCAGTTTGTGCTCTGTGTCCGGCAGTGAGATGTCACAAAGCCTTGCCATGTAGAACCGTGGTGGGTCACTGAGTGTGGTGGTCTGTGGAGCTCCTGCCACATGCGTGGCATGCTGCAGATTTTCAGGAGATGCCGCTTTGAGAAAAGCTGAAGCTCGGCCTTCGGCCTGCTTCGTGGCGCCCAGTTGGTCTCAAGCTGCGTCCCAGCACGGCTCGGCTTGGCAGATACAGCCACAGCTCCGTCTTCCCCGTCTGTGCAGACAGGCTTGGGGAAGGTCATCGTGAAGGTGACTGCCTAGCCGCCGTGACCTGCCTGAAAGCCATGTTGCCGGTGTCGATGGCGCTGGTCTGGGGACCTGGCACTTGCTGTTGGGCGTGTACTCAGCCCCTGATGCGAATCAAAGCCTGCACATTGTCAAAGCTCTTAAGCCTCCCCACGTCTGGAGGCCTAAGCATGGGCCGGCTGTTGAGACGTGAGAGGTGTTTCGCCCCTTGTGTGTGTTGGAGGCTGCCGTGTGTGGGCGTGAGTCTGTGAGTTTAAGAGTCTGTGGGTGGCAGGATGTGTGTGCAGGTGTCACGTGGATGGGCATGTGGTGGTGAGGTCTGGCTTCTGGCGAACCCATCACCGAAGCGCTGAATGGTGACGCTGTGCCTGCTAAGGAATTTCATGCCCCCCCAGGTCCCCGTGTCTGTCATCTCTTTTAGTGTCTTTGTGAGCGCATCGTTTAGCTCCCGCCTACGAATGCGGACTCGTGGTACTTGGCTTTCCAAGTTCGCTCACTTTGCCCAGCGGCCTCCTGCTCCTGTGCTGCTGCGGAGGGCAGGGTTCTTGCTCGTGGCCGCATGGTGTCCCGTGGTGTGTGTGCACGCTCTCTTTGCCGGGCCACCGCTGATGGACGTGAGGTTGATGCCCTGGCTTTGCTGGTATGGGTAGCACACAGACTTCCCGAGCCTGCCACTGCTCAGTTTAACAGACGCACAGAGTTGCACACTGAACGGGGTGTGCGCGGCTCACGGGCCAGACTCCTGTGCGAGCCCCACCAGGGCGAGAAGCCTAGGGCAACCCCGCCCGGCCTCTGGGAGAGACGTTTCTGGCAAAATGGCCTTTCCTCTTAGCCGTGGCGCCCACCATGCCTGTCAGTACAGTTTCCTTTTGTCTGTTATAGGCGAAGTCACACTTTAGAGTGTGTGGAATTAAGATCCAAAAGTGTGTTATCAGGGTGGAAGGGTGCTCAGGGCCCGGGGCTCAGGCTGGAGCCTGTGAGGGTGGCAGGGCTGTGGTGGGCACTCAGGACCCAGGGCTCAGGGTGGAGCCCGAGAGACTGTCTGGGACGAGTTGGTCTCTCAGAGCCCAGGGCTCAAGCCAGAGCCCATGAGAGTGACATGGTGGGTGCTCAGAACCCAGGGCTCAGGCCAGAACCTGTGAAGGTGTCAGGGTGAGGCGGGGGACAGGGCTCAGGCTGGAGCCCGTGAGGGTACCGGCCGAGATGGGTGCTCAGAACCCAGGGTTCAGGCCAGAGCCAGCGAGGGTGCCAGGGCGAGGTGGGCACTCAGGACCCAGGGCTCACACCGGAGCCATTGATGGTGCGATGGGCATCCCGGGGAGGCAGGGGTGGGTCCTGCATCTGCGTTCCTCCTGCCGGGTGAGGACTGCAGGGCTTTGGGTCAGAAGACCCACTAGGGGCCACGTCAGCCTCCCTGAAGCCAGTCCAGACCCCTGCAGTGGCAACAGTAGAGGAAGAGTCGCTTCTCGTGAGGCCACGGGGCCTGTCACCTCCCTCTGCTCCCGTGAGAGGCGGGGTGCTGTGAGGGGGACGGATGCGCCCAGCCTTGGAGGTGCAGTCACTGGACCCTGGGGTGGGAGTCCTGGGCCCCAGAGACCTCCCAGGCAGCGCTGCTCCCAGAGAACGCTTTGACATCCTGGGTTCGAGGGCAGCGAGGTCACTGGCTGGTGTGGGCCCGCAGGCTCCCAGCACTGGGAGGCACCGCCGGTGCTGTGGCCACTGCTCCTGCAGCCCTGCTCCCTCCCGCCTTCCACGAAGGCCGAGCCCTTGCTGTGCTGGGCCCTTCCCTCCCTGTGTCCCTGGCCCCTCTGGTCTCTTCCCTCCTCGCACCCTCCACAGCCCGGACCACGGCTTTAGTCCGTGGCTTCAGCTGGTGGCTCTGCTTCAGCCAAGCTGCCGTGACTTGTAGCCAGTGGTATGAGGACACTGCTGGGAGGCGTGGTGGCTCAGCCTGTCATCCCAGCTCTTTGGGAGGCTGAGGCGAGAGGGTTACCTGAGCCCAGGGTTCGAGACCAGCCTGGGCAACTTGGCGAGTCCTCATCTCCACAAGAAATCAAAAACTAGCCGGGCATGGTGGCGCATGCCTGTAGTTCCAGATGCTTGGAAGGCTGAGGCGGAAGGATCGCCTGCATCCAGGCTGCGGTGGCTGTGCCGCCCGCATCTAACCACCTCCCATGGTCAGATCCACAGCGGAGGAAGGACATGGGCCAAGGCCCTCCGCAGAGCTCCTGTTCTGTCCTGGGAGGACACGCTCCGGTCATTCCTGGGAAGCCCCTCTACTCCTCCCCCTCTACAGGGCTGAGGGTGAGGGCGGGGGGCTGGAGGGTGAGGATGGGGTCTTGAGGAGTATAGGTGGGGTGAGAGCAGTGGGTGTGAAGGGGCCGGGGATGGGGTGAGGGTGGGGCGTGGGGGTGTGTGAGGTGGGAGGTGAGGGCAGGGGCTGGTGGGGGTTTGGGCGTGCGAGGGGCAGGGGTCGCCCCCCGGGTGTGTCAAGCAGGTATGGCGGGCCGGGCC